CCCTTTTCCTTCCTTCTCTTTCGATCCAAGGAATAAGTATATCCATTGTTGTGACTCTCGGAACCTTTTGATGACGATAGAAACTGGCCAATGTGGCGGGGCTAAGTCTAATCTCTCCAGACAATATGTTATACATTTGTGTAGGTGACCTCCCACCTCTTTTTCTTTTTTGATCGAAAATAGCTACGAACTCGTTCCAGTACATTTCGAGATCATCATTATAAATGGAACGATGTCCGGAGGAAGCATAGCTCGTTGAAGAATATCGGTTGGAACCGGCTAGTGGAGAATAGATGAAGAGGACAGTTAGGATCATGGGTCCCGATAAAATTCAATCATAAGTTACATACCTTGTGAAACCGCATCATCTCTCCATTCATTTTCGGTGCGCATTTTTCGAAGTTCATTATTTAGTGCTAGGATTGTCTTATCAAGATTATTATTTCTCCCAGTCTGTTGTTTGCGAAAATAGATGAATGCTCCAGCAAAAAATATATATAGGAATAAATTTCCCGAAAAAATAGTTTGGAGATTCTCAATAGATATAACCCCCCGGGATATCATTTCATAGAATATTACTACGACGCAGAAGAGTGCGAGCAGAGAGATATCAGTGAATGAAAGCATTTTATTATTAAATTTGTTTTAGATAGTTTATGCACAAAACTTTGCGAAGTGCCTACGAAGCGTCTTAATGGCTAACAGCTATTTTTTTTTTGGTTTGTTTTCTTGTTAGAGCAACTCCGATACTTCCCAGTACTTTTATATTTAAGATTACTCCGCAGTTGATAGACATGATCATTGAAAAACATAACAGCCCCTGGTGATCTTACAGTTCATTATTTAGCCGATCCTGACCTGCAAATTACCCTGTATTAGAATGTATTAGCTTGGCGATCAAAAAGTAGCATATATGATTTTATCGTTACTGGTCAAGAGATCATATGTAGTATTTAATATTTTTTTTATTTGCGAGACATTCCTAGCCTCAAGCTCGACGATCTTAGCCACAAGTTTAGCATTTTCTTCTCTAAGTAAATTTCAGTGAAAAAAATAAACTTATGATAATCCAGTACTAAAGTATGTGATAATTCTCCTAGGCGGATACCGGAGATATAATAGGACTCATCATTGGCGAGACTTTCCTTTCATATCTTCCATTACAATAATAATAACCTCTACCACATCTACTGTATCCACCGTATTCATTATATTCATCATCTGAATCATCTAACATTTCTTCAAAATTATTGTCATGACTATACTTTAGCGCCTCCGGCCAGTCACTATCATCATATACCCTATCTGATTGCGAAGCAACCACCGTTTCTTTCACTGACTGAAGTATGGAAACATTATCAAAATATACATCTCTATAATCCTCAGCTGAAATTAAGGGTTTCGTTTGCGCCTCCGATGCCTCTTCAGAATCGGTAATAGAGTTATCTTGTTCCTCAGGATCATCGGCAAATTCTATATTAGGCTTTTCGGTGAAATGATCTATAATCGTTTGAATTTGAGTATTAGTAAATTTTGAAATTGTATCTGCACTATATGTTTTGATGTATTGAATCTTGTCCATTCCTATTTTTTCGAATAAATTATAAACCTTTCTAGCTTTCTGAGTTTGTTTTTGTAAAGTTTTACGCTTGACATTTAGTTGTACAATAATAAAATCATAAATCTGTCCTTTCGCTTTCTTCTCTCCAATATTGTCAGATTTCATAAGATCTCTAACCTGGTTGTCAAATTCTATAGTATAATAATACCAGCACGTAATTTCATCTTGATTAACTTTAATCGCTTGCTTTTCCGCATCACAAGCTTTCTGGTACAAACTGGTCAAATTTAGTAATATTTTGCTTTTTGATGTGGAAAATAAAATAATATGATCTTTCTTCGTCCGATATAAATCATTGGTCACATGATTTTTGGCGAACTTTTCATCAAAATGGTTCGCTGAAATTTCAGTCACATGCTTTTCTTCCTTGGATGAAATTATTTCTCGAATCAAGCCCTGTTCGTTTTTCCGCTCCTGGTTAGGTGATCCATACTGAAGCTTCTCCTCACGCTTTCTTTGCCTGATCGAATCGCTAACTCTTTTCTTATGTGCCTCATCCAAGATTTCATCCATCATCTTGTCTTCCAATGATTTACAGGTCTTCGACTTCTGACATACACCGGAATTTGAAGTGATATCAGATATATCAGATGTGTATTCTGGCATTTGTTTAGATGTATCATCTTCCAGTAAAGAGTTTGCAGAGGGTGATGCAGAGTATTGAATCTCCGATTCTTCAGATTTTGTCTGGCTATATTCTATTTCGGGTGAGGGGTCAAGAATAATAGTTTCTTCAGATGCGATAGCATAGTGTAAACTAGCATCTTCACTGATAGGTTGCGGAATATCTTTTGTAGAAGATGCTCTCAGTTCATTAGTAATAACCTGAGTCTGCCTCTGTTCCAATTTCGTGACTCTATCTTTAAGCTCAGTATTCTCGGCAGTGAGCTTGGCAGTATCCGTTTTATTTTTTTTCTCCAACTCTTCAAACCTGGTTTTAAGCTCAATGCTCTCTTCTATGACCTGTCTTAACTTCAAATTTTCAGCCTCGATCTCAGCATATTTCTTTCTAAGTTCAGGAATTTCAGCGTTCTCCTTTCTAAGATTAGCAATCTCGACTAAGAGCTTCGAATTTAGTTCTTTCAAAGAATCAATATTAGACTGTGTGTTTGCCATTTTTTAAATAAAATATAGATAAGTTCAAAAGTGAATTTAAAAAAAATATCATCATACAAAAATTAATTATCGTAAAAAGACCTGATTGCTTTATTGATACAATATAAAAAATACATGTGAAGCGGGCGTGTCATCTACTCACTATTTCTTAGTAATTTTTTCTTGTACGCGTCGCTTCTTATTTTCAGATTCATCACACGCTAACACCCTATCTTTCAATAACCCTACGACTATACTGATTACCTGTTTTATATCTTCCCTCAGACTTTCCTGATTTCCCTTGAGCGCTTTTTTCGTAAGATTTATTTGATATTCGCTATTACTAGTACAAAAAATTCCTTCGGAAGTGAACATGATAAAATGCCAATCCGCGCCTAAAAATAAATCAAATAATTAGCAAAGCCAGAACGAAGATCATGACAAGAGTTGCCCTATGAATCCGCTCCATAATAGAAAATTTTTCTCATACCAGTCAACACAATCCCATATAGATAGTCGTAATCCTCAGCCTTAAATGCTTCGTCCGCAGTTCGCTTCTTCTTGTTCATGTGGAAGGAACTCTCGAGTTGTTTTATATTTTGAAGGTAACCAATCTTAACGTTTCGTGGTTTTCCCTCAGTGATACACAAAAGATCCTCCATCCCAGTTATAGCGTAATCAACTCTTCCGGATGCTTCTTCACCTGAAATATCCCTCTGCAATTCTATATGGATTTCTTTATTAGTCATTCTTCTCGCAATTGATATTGATGTGTGTAATACGGATGAAATAAATTTGCAACGCGTTGCTTCGTTAGCCTCTATCATTGATTTTACATTCGTTAACCGTAGTATTATTTCGTTCATGCACTGTTCAAGGGCTTTATCGTTATCATCTATTTCTCGGGAACTATTACGAAAAAATGTTAGGCCATCTTCGATCACCTTGCCAAGAAATTTCAGCGAACTTGGTTCGCCCAAATAATGCCAAGAAAAAATACCACATACCTGGATTGAATTGCTTGATGCTCGTTAAATCCTCACCGTTAACTTTATATTTGCGAAGTACATCTTTTAATTCTTCCAGCATTTTGTACAACGAGAAACTTCGTAATTTTTGTTCTGATATCTCTTCAATAAAATCCGCAAGTCTAATTGCTGGTCCACCTTTTAAACCATAACTGCGAAACTTTTCTTCCGTAGTCTTGAGAAAGTCACGGCCAGAAATTCTTTCATTGCAAAATATTTTGAAGTCTGCTTCAATAAGTTTTACATCTCGCCTCTGTAAATAGTCAATAAGCTCCTCTGTAACTAGATCCTTCACAACGTCCGCCATCATGCGAGTTTACCTTTCTTCAGTCAAAGTGGAGGATGTAGAAACGGGTGTGGAAGGCGAAGACATTTTTTATATCGGTATAAGGCGTAAAAAAAATTCTTGTTTATGCGATGCGTTTATGAAGTGAGATAATGCAAGGGAAGAGAATGAAAAATTTTTTCGTTTATTTTTAGGTGGATCAGTGGCTTTTTATGGTAAATAGATTACGCAACTCATATAGAATGGCAAGTACACGACGATCTCGGAGATTGCGGATATTTCGACTTCCCAAGACATAAGTCCCTTGACAACGCACTAATAGAGATTGACGGGCTAACCTTCCTAATTGCCTTTTTGAGATTCGTTTACGCTGGTTCTTATCGCAGAAGCATGTTTAATATAGAAACAATTTCAATAAAAATAAAGCGGAAAATAACTACTATCTATGTTGTACTAACTCCTACGCTGATCTCTGATTTGCAGATTTAATACACCGAGGCATACACAAACTACGATCTGTTTCCTGATAAAAAAAACCAGCAATGAGTTAAAAAGAGCCATAAGGGGGATGGGCTTATCGTTTCTCATTAGTAATTTTATCAAATTTCATATGGGAGTGTTTCTAGGAAAATCAGGTTCCGAGAAATTTTTGACTAAAATTAAGAGCTTAATACATTTTAATCTAATAACATCAAAAACTAAAATGCAATAAAAATCTCAATTTTGCTAAAAAAATTCCCGGAACCTGATTTTCCTAGCAATCAACCCGTATATTACAATGACCTAACATTTCCAGATCATCACGATCATTGACTTTTTTATGGCATAACCATGAGTCTCCGACTCTACTTTACAAGTGAGATCGCCTAAATTAAGGGGTTTGTTTGTTTAGCATCCAAAAGTTTTGATCTCCTATATCCACAGGTATAAGTAATTGCATCACAGGCATAATCTGCCAGGAATTATCCATTCAATAATTATCAAGATCCCAACCTTTCACGGGATCGGCTAACGTATCCAAGAGTGTATTATGTTCTTTCATCCTAAATGCATTAGACCTAGAGAATGCATCGAATAATCTATTTATTTCTGGAAGACTTCTGGTAAATTCCATGAGTACTGCTCCCTAACATCCGCAGTGAATAAAAAAAATCTTGCCAGAGATATTCTCGAAAATTTATATGTTTCCGCAGTGCTCCTATTTTTAGATCCATATGTGCTATTTTTGTAATAATGGTTAATATATGCTATTTTGTATTAATGGAGATAAGATCTTATGAAATGCCGTCGATCAATAAAAAAAATTATTCAGCGATATATGTCATGCGCAGTACCCAATAATACGTTATTATTACACCTCTCCGCAGTAACTACACATATACTGTTTTGAGTGTCATATGATACCGCTCCCTCTGTCAAGTGATCCTTTACGCATATACTGTTGTAAGTGTCATATGATATTACTCTCTCTGGGATCAGTGTCAAGTGATTCTCTACATATATACCGTTGCGAGTGTCATATGATATTGCTCCCTCGAGGCTAAGTGTCAAGTGACCCTTTACACGTATACTTGTTATGATACTGCTCCTTTTAGGTCAGGGACCTGTAAAATTCTTTCGATTTGAGCCACGATTTATTTCGATTTGACCAGAATTGATAGCTAAAATTATAATGATATTGGCAAAATCATATGTTTAGATAATTAATAGCCAATCATTTTCTGATCACATGATAAAAATTATATCCAAAAATTTCGATCTTTGAAAAAATAAAAATAAATCAGATCATTTATTAAATATGTTCGGCTAATGCTATATAAAAATAAAACAGATCATATATTAGAATCTATGTAAATATGTTTGAGCTAATGCTTACATCAAAAAATAAATTAGAGACGTGATCATTTTTTAGAATCTATATATATGTAAATATGCACAGCGTCGGCCAATAATATTATTCAATCAGTCTGCATTGGTATCCCCTCCTCATTTAGATCTAAATCATCAAATTGATCTTCAAGCCAATTTGGTCAAAAAGAATTCGCTCTAACTCTTTCTTGAATTATCTTTATTTCTTTATCAATAAATTTTCTAAAAGACGATGGTGAAATTCTCTTAATTCGCTTGATCTCGACTCTTCCTAAACCTTCCGTTTTGAATATGTTATAAATATTTTTAGCTGAGCGTTTTTTCTTGTTAAAAATATTATGAGACATGTTAGAGGAAAATTGTTGCTTAATTTCTGCATTAAGCAAGATTCGCGCAGTTTGAAGAGGATGAATAGATATAAATTTAGCCAATTTCTTCTCTAATGCTTCCCCGAGAGGATAGTGTGAGTCAAGGATTTCATATTCTATGTGGGATACTTCACATGTTTTTTTTTTAAGAATCTTTTCAGCATCAAGTATTTATTTGTGTAATTCAATGAACGCATATCTGAAGTTGTGAGATTTTCTGTTTTCACATTTGTCACCAGTAACAGATTATAGTCTTGTGATCTGTTGGATAACTCTTTAAAAAATTTTTTAACCCTATCTTCTTCTTCTTGAGGATTTAACCTTGCATCATTATCCTCACCAAGATAAATAGGTTGTTGACAACAAGGACATGTTGTATATTTTTTTAAGGAAATAATAATACATCTAAGATGGAAGCTATGAAGACAGGACAATCTTACGACTAGTTCCAGGTTAGCTTCATCAAGTTTGAATAATGGATCGGGTTTATTACAGAAAGAATATGTTTTGAATTCCCTTTGAGCGGATTCCCTTTGAGAATTGATAGGTGCGGTGAGTTGAATAATGTGATAAGAGATACTTCTGTCGGATATATCCTCATCAAATATTTCTTCTTTAATGGCCAATGGAGGGATGTTATTAGATCTTTCTGATTCTATTAGTATTTTTTGAGATGCGATTTATGGGAAAAATATTATTATAAGCGAAAGAAGGGTTTTTATACTTTCTGAATACTCCACTTGTGATCACGAAATTATAACGCGCACGTATTTTTTTCTTGATCGGAGTTAATATGTCTA